TTCCCCTCCTGCCTCTCCACAAGGCCTCAAATAAATCAGAAAGATAAAAGTTAGACGCTACTCCAAAAAAAGTCACTGAAATACAAAGTCCCAAAGGAAGTTTAACTGTAAACTTTAAATGCTTATTAAGCTTTCAGGGCTTAATAGAGAAAAGATCTTAGGGGTTCTTCCGACCTGACTATCTGCAGGTGTAGGAATTTTGTGGGATGGTGGCAATGGAAGTGCCTCATAATAAGCCACCACACCCAGCACTGTTCCTGCCGCAATGAGTCCTGTGATACGTTCATGCAAAAGTTCTAGCTACTCAGTGTCACCAATGCCTGGAGTTTTAGAATCTAGGAAATTGTGTTTTAATTAAAGCCACCTCCAGGTAAAACAGTTATTACACCAGGTTTTCTAGATCCGAGCTGGGAGGGTTTGGATCAGAACATGAAAATGCAACCCAACACTGTTATCACCTTGTCACAAAATAGCCTTATTCCCAATAGTGATTATAAATCACCATGCAAGCCCAGCCAGCAGAGGGTGGAGATCTGGGCATTAACAGGTATATGTGCCACCTTAAGTACCCTACCTCTTGGATTGGCACCTACTGCCTCTCCCCAGGGCGTGAGGAGAGTTCCTTTCAGTAGACAAAAGAGGTCTCACAAAGGGATGTGTTGACCATTGTCTGCATGACCTCCTTGGAAAGCAGAATTTTTTTGTGGGTGAAAGATGCTTTCTGAGAAAATAAAGTCCTAGGAAGAGGACAAGTGGAGTTGAGGAACCAGAGAACAAGAAAGTCCATTTGCTGCAAGGAAAAGGAAGAGAGAGAGAGAAAGAAAGAAAAGAAAACAAAGGAAATTAGTGAAGTCTTAGGAATTAATGAATGTCGACACCGACCTTATCCAAACTGGTAGGAGTAAATTCATTACTCTCATAATTAACCTTGTATTTGTATGTTTTGAACTCAGCTGTGTCCGCAGTACTGGCCAGAGAACGGAGTACACAGACATGGCCCCATCCAGGTGGAGTTTGTGTCGGCCGATTTGGAGGAGGACATCATCAGCAGGATATTCCGTATTTATAACGCAGCCAGGGTAAGACTCGGGCCAGGAGTGCTCATTCTGGTTTCCTTGATTTTCGCACGCATTGACTATTTGGAGTGCCCCCTGTATGTCAGTCAGTGGTCTAGGAGTTTGGAATACATCAGGGAACAAAAAACAAAGATCCCTGCCCTTGTAGAGCTTACAACTCTTCTACTGGGAGACGTGTTGCAGAAAACATCATTCGGCGATACTTGTTGAAGCACAGTAAGGCACACTTCACCCAGGACCATCCCGATAGGTGCACAGCCTGGGGGTCACTGCAACAGCGTCCTGCCGTGGCGGCGAGAGTCTGGGCTCAACTCCGGACACAGTACCAGCACCTGGGGATTTATAGCGCTGGAGCGTGGGGTGGGGTCAGCGGATGGAAAATTACTAAGGGGAAATGTCAGGGCTGATGGGGACTCTGACTAAATCCACCTAACAGGATTCTTGCTGAAGACAGGCCAGGGTGACCAGACGCCACCTGGGGTGGGGAGTGTGAGGAACCTGATGGGATCTCTGGGGTGATCAGATATTGAGGGGGATGGGTTGCTAACTCACTGGCAGGGATTGCTGAAACTGATTTCACAGTGAAGGGCCTAGAGAAGGTGCGGGGGCCTGACCACAGCTTGGTCAAGCAAAGAATCATTGTCAGATGACAGTGAAAAATATATGTAACAGATATAATAATAAATGTACATTAGAAAGTGATACGTGCTATAGGAAGAAAAGTGGGGCGGGGGTTTAGAAAGTGCTAGGGCCACATGCAGGAGAGGAAGTGTGGCTGCCTTCTAAGTAGAGGTGCCCTGGGAGCCGAGACCTGGGGAGGGGAGGGGAAGGAGGGAGCCGGCGGTCCGCGCAGGGTAAGCCAGTGCAGAGGTGCTGCGGCAGGGGGGCCTTGCCCGGTGAGCGCAGGGACAGTGAGAGGCTGGTGTGGCTGGGGCACGGTGAGCGGAGTCCAGGGCGCATAGGTAGTTCACCCGGAAGGAAAGGGAGGGGCTCCTGGGCGCCTCGCAGCCACGGCTAGCACTGGGGCTTTTGCGTGGAAAGAAATAAGGAGCCATTACAGGGTTTTGAGTAGAGTCACATGGTATAAGTCACATCTTTAAAGCAGCATTCTGGCCCCTATGTCGAGAATAGACTCCCAAGAGAGATCCATCAGGAGGCCGTCAGCAGGAGGGGAGGTGGAGGAATGAGAACGGGAGAGCCTGAGACATCTGCAGGTAGAGCCAGGAGGAGGACCCCAGGGAGACGGGCGACTGGCGCGCTCTGTGTCCTGAGGACGAGGATGACGGCACTGACACTGACTGTGAAGGCTGCGACTGTGACAGGATCATTTGGGTGAGGGCGTGCAGGGAGACAGGGTCGGGAGCTCAGGTTTAGACACGCTGGGTTTGGGGTAAATGGTAGGGTGTCAGGTGAGCCTTTGAATATATGAGAGTGAAACTCAGAGAGGGACTGAACGAAGTCAGAGGGGAACAGGGAAGAGGGAAGGCCCGGGACTGAGCCCGGCGCTCCCATCAGTAGGAGTTCCAGGGGATGGGAGGCCGAGGCAGAGCGGGACAGGCTGTGAGGGCTCAGGAACAGCCAGTGGAGAACGTGGGTTGAGAAGAAAGTGGTCACCTGGGTCAGATGCTGCTGACAGCCACGGAAGAGTCAGCCCTGGTGGTTTAGCTACAGCCAAATTAAAGCTGTTGTCACTTTTCTAACGTAAGCTGAGTAACACTTTTTAGGGTTTTGCAATTCCATTTAATTATGACTGAAGATTAATTAACTACTGATATCTGAGCAAGAGTCACATCAATAAGCAAAACCACATGATACTCACAGGAAACACAGCATCATCTGTCACACCGGGCTCACAAACATCTCCAGATTATCAATTATTCTTTACCTTTAATTGACCTGTAATTGAAGCCATTTTACCACTTAATGCACGACGTGGTCAATGCCCAAGTGTTATTTTTCACTTGGCTTTTGCAAAATGGCGAGCTTTCTGCTCACTCTTACTTGTCTGGCCTACCATTTAAAACACCTGCTTTTCTGTAGTAGCTCGAGATTAGAAATCATGACTCTTCAGGCCCGTGGAAGCCACGTTTGCGGTTTGTAGGCAGGACTCTCCTTTAATAACGTGAAGGTCAGACAGGTGGCATCAGCCCACTGCAATGCAATAGAGTCAACAATGCCTGTTTCTTCCCAACCCTGATTCTCTGTAGCCCCAAGATGGATATCGGATGGTGCAGCAGTTCCAGTTCCTGGGCTGGCCGATGTACAGGGACACACCGGTGTCCAAGCGCTCCTTCCTGAAGCTCATTCGCCAAGTGGACAAGTGGCAGGAGGAATACAACGGCGGCGAAGGCCGCACCGTCGTGCACTGCTTGTGAGTGCTTGCAGTGGTCTCCGTCACAGGACGGCCAGGCCCCACGCTCAGTGTCTGCCTCTTGTTTCCCTGTCTTTGTTTCACTATAAATGGGGAAGAAATAAGCAGGTCTTTGTGAAGCAATCATCAGTACACTCAGGGTTTAGGTGGCTTTTCAGGAAACAAGATGCGTACATTTGGCATTCAGATGGTGCATCACTGCTGTAAAAATACGAATTGACCCTGTGATTAAGACACCTCCCCCCGCCCAAAAAAGCAACAAAAAAACTACCTGGGTGGGTTCAGTGGGCTCCTACTGGCTCTTCAGAGCCAATTGTTAAGTTTTCAGGAATTTTCTGACCTGGATGTTAAACTGTTGGTAACTTAAGATCATCCATGGTGGAAGTAGTTACACCACAAAAACCAGCAAATGCTGTTAATACTAATCAGGCCCCCTCCCAGCCAGCCATAGCTGGGTAACCATCATAGTACTTGATTATTCTATTGGAAATCATGTCATAGGTTTCAAGGGAACTGTCTCTCTTTTTTTTTTCTTTGTGGTTTTTAGGAGATATTTTTCCCAGGGAATGTGTATATTAGGAGGATTTGGTTAGAGCCAGTGTCTCCAACGTGTGGCCTCTAGACCAGCAGTTCTAGCAGATGCTGAAACGTGGGAACCCCCATTACAGAAGCTCCCAGCCCTACCCATACATTGACAGTCATTTAAAGAGTTTTAAAAAAGGCCACACCCAAACCAATTGAATCTGAATCTCTGGGAGCGGGGCGTAGACATGGGTGTTTTTTGTAAACTCCTAGATTATTTCGATGTGTTGAGATAATAAAGGTGAGAGCCACTGAGTAGAGAATGCTGTGCTTTCCAAAGCACTTTCACCTGCATTTTCTCATTGGCAATGATATGTAGCTAATCAACCAGCTGCAATTGGCTTAATGGAACAGACAATTAAAAAGTCATGACAGTTAGGGAAAATGTTTAGAGAATTTGTGGAAATATAAAGTATAAGCGTATGTTGCTTTTAGTGGAGTGTCATTAGAAGCACACAATGAAATCTCTCCCAAATTGAAGGCAACATGAAGTTTTACTCTGGACAGATCAACCCTAGTTGAAGTGGCCAACTTGGCTAAGGACACAGGTACACTCCACTGAGTGCCTTTATCTTGTGCAATGCCACCCCTACCCAGGGCCTGCCAGGCCTCCTTGGAAGCCCAGGACTCTGCCCTGCTTCTCACCAAATGAAAACATGGTAGTGTCTCATTCTGCAGGAATCTGGTATTCCTTTGGGAAGAGTCTTAGGAGTCTACTCACAGTTGTCCTCAACCAGAAGTCCCAATCCTTTGTCTTCTGAAAAGTGTTTTATTAACCTAACCTTCCCCCACTTACTACTTCCTCCTTCCTGCTCATGAACCCAGTGCAGTAGAAACATCTCCACCAAGAAATGCCACTAAGAATTAACAGTTCACATCCCCATTTCTGTTTTTCTAAGCCCAGATATAACCTCTGATCAGAGTAGGACAATAGGTTCACCACACTGAGATGATACACTCCCAGCACAGAAAATGGACATTTTAGTTAGTTTGTATTAGGTCTGCCATGTTTTTCTAAAATAGTAAAAAATAATTTACAGATACCCCTGCCTGCATCTGGAGACCCCCAGCGTCTGGAGCAAGACACATAATGCATCTAACCCCTGGGATCAGTAGCTTTCTACCAAAGGCCGATGCTTTAACCCACAGGACTAAGTTACTAGTGATGAGAGGAAGTTGAAGCACCAGGACAGGCCTAAGGGGAAGACACAAAGGCCCCCCAAATCACCACACCTCATAGATAGCTGTTCCATGTGACACCTAAAGCAGGGGGCTGTCCTTTAGCCGTAACAGGCATCCGTTGTTCCTTCCCTCCTGCCTGTGCAGCGTCTCTCCCCCTTTTTCTGGTGAGAGAATTTGATCTTTCCTTGGGAACCATTCTCCCACCCTCCAAAGCCCCCATGGTTTCCATGGAGCTGCCGCTTGCACTCTTGGCACCAGGGTGGGTGTGAGACCCCAGCCTGGTGAACATGTTTATTTTTGTTTACATTCATAAATCTAAATCTAAGGGTTTTATTTAGCTGTAAGAAAAAAAGTTAGTTTAAATTGGCATCCTCCAGTATTGGCCAGGAAAGGATGCTTTGAAACCACTGACATACTCCTCTCTGCAGGAAGAGCATAGGATTCAGCATAGTGTAGCGCCACCTAATGGCTGTGGGCAGAGATTCTGCCTGCGTCCCAGACCTGCAGGTGCTGTTAGTTGAATGGTTCCTTGAGAGCCACAGGTACACAAATAGGGCATTTTATTCTTTATGCATGTCTTCCAGCTAATAAAACCAGAATGAATGGATAGAATTAAGATATCACCATTGTGCAACTCTCTACGGAAATAATGGATTAGACACTGGTCATCAGCAGGTGCTGAAAGCGTGGGTGAAAGGCTGATGGGAAAAGCGGAGTAACACTAGTGCAAGGACAGAAAACAGACTAGCACGCAGAAGAGACAGTCCAGGAACAGAGCCACACCGCCGTGCCACCTGGTTTACAACAAAGATCTCAACTCTGGCAGGGCAATGGGGGAGGCTGCCTGGATGCCCCATAGACAGAAATCCTTTCCAGGTGGGTTGTAGACCAACAAAGCTTATAGAAGAAGATGTAGGAGAAAATCTTCATAATTCAAGGTAGATTTGTTCAACAGGACACAGAACACTAGCCATAAAGGAAAATATTGATAAATTGGATTTCATTCAAATGAAGCTCTTCTATTCATCAAAAGACACCAACAAGAGGGAAAAAGCAAGACAGTGGGAAGAGAGTTTTGCAATACGTCTGTCAGGCAAAGGACTCAGCCAAAATGTCTAAGAACTACTGCAAGTCAATAGGAAAAAGACACCCCAGTTTTTTAAATGGGCAAAAAACTAGACAGGTACTTTATTAAAAAAAAAAAAAAAAGATGGCCAGTAAGCATAAAAAGGTACTCAATGTCATTCATTTTTAGGAAAGTACACATTGAAACCAGTATCAGATGCCACTGCATACTCACCAGAATGGCTGAAATGTTAAAGACAAACAAATGGTAATACCACGTGTTAGTGGAGCTGTGGAGTAACTGGAACTCTCTTACATTGTTGGTAGGAAGTAACTTTCGTACAACCAGGAACTGCTTGGCAGCATCTGCTAAAGCTAAACATATACGTACTCTCCGAGTGCTTCTGTTCTTAGGTAATGATGACAGAAATGCATCATGTACTGAAAGACATGCTTATAGCACGTTTACTCACGATAACTAAAACCCGGAAACAGCCCAAACATTCATCAACTACTGGATAAATAAATTATACAGTAGTGTCTCCATTCAGTAGAATTCTTCTGAGCAGTATAAAAGAATAGACTACGATACAACAACATGGTCGATTCTCACACAGATAATACAGAGAGAAATAAGCCAGACTCAAAAGAATATGTGCTGTGTGGTTCCCTTTGTACAGAGTTCAGAAACAGGAAAAAGAAATTTATGGAGTGAGAAGTAGAACACATGCCCTTCGGTGGCACTGATGGTGTTTTCGAGGAGGGGGTGTGGGGGAGGCCCCTGGGTGGGCTGACCACGGTCTGTATCTTGAGCCGAATGGTGGTTACAAGCTGTGTGCATTTGTAAAAACTAACTAAAATATCTACTTGCCATTCATGGACTGTATTGTAGGTATGTTATACTTTATTTAAAAAGCTGATCTGGAACTGTGTAACGGACTGATCTAGCTGGCATCCAAACACAATGGTCAATATTAAAATCACAAAACAAAGGGACAACCAGATATCTTACACTTTCCTAATGAAAGTACACTTACAAGGCATCCTTGTCTAAATAAGTAAATAAATCCTGAAGTCTTATCAAGCCACTGGATCTAAATACCAATGCACAGGAAATACGGGGCTAGAGAGCAACATGGTAAATGCTCTCACAGAGTTGCAATGAATGAGAAAAATCTAGACTTTGGGACTCTCTGCAAGACAAATGGCCCTGTTCCCTCAACAAATAAATTCCCAAGAAAAAATACAGAGCAAAGAGGAACTTAGAGATTAAAATAAATTTGTAAGATGTACCAACCAAATGCAACATGTGGACTTCGCTTACATGTGGATTTTTAATAAAAAACAACTGTGAGAAATAATCTGGGATTGGAACACCAACTAGAAATTTGATTATATTAAAACAGTAATGTTTATTTATTTTAGGTGTGATAGTGATACTGTGTTTACTTTAAAAAAATAAATAAATAAAAAGGCCTCCTTGGAGAAGAGGGTGATCGCAGAGCCTGGTGCATGGAAAATACAGGATGAGCCTGGAATACCGCGTGGTTGCAGAAAGTAAGAAAATGCTCAAAAAAGGATAAAGGCTTCTCAAAAAAGAACACAGGAACCAACACGATGGAAATCCTAATGGCCAAAGCTAGAGCAATTCGAACAACAAGATAAATATTGATACCATTGGATTTTAGCTCACAGAATAAAATTAATATGTATAAGTTCACACTGATATAAATAAATAATAAGTTAAAATAAGTAAGCAAATAAATCGTTTAATGGAGGCGAAGAGACAGCTCTTTCTTATGATAGAATGTCGAAGGAGAGCGGGAGATAGAAAGTCACCACTAGGCCAACACCACAGGGATAATTAATTGTTGCAGACAAGATTCACCAACAAATGCAACGTCAGTGGGCAAAACTTTGAGAAGAAACAAGATATTCGCATAGTCCCACAGTATCTTCTCCCAAGATATTTATTAACTGCTAATACAAAGAAAAAGATAATAATGCTACAGAGAAAATCTGGCAGACCCCGTCTTAACAAGTGAGCAAGGCTGACATCACCAGGATAAGACAGATCAACACCATGAACCCCTTCTGTGGTTTTCTTGCCGAAATGTATGATCTCATTTCCAACCATGAGAAAACATCAGACAATCCCAAATGAATTTGTACTTCGTAGTGACTTCTCAGATTGTAGCTGAGGACCACGGCTGCTCTGCCTCTGCATCCTGCCATCTGTGTTTTATATTCTGTAAGATGCTGACCAGCGCGACTGAGGAACTGCTGCAGCTGGAGGAGACCAAGGCGATAGGACAGCTAAATGCAGGGGAGGTCCTGGATCAGATGCTGGGCCAGAGAAAGGACGTTAGTGGAGAACCTGCTGAGATCTGAGTAAGGCTGACGGTTTAGACAATAGTATTGTCCAAGCGTTACTTTCCAGGTTTTCGTAGTGTGCCGTGGTTATGTGAGATGTTCACATCAGGGAATTTGGATATACGAGGGAACTCTCTATGCTATTTTTGCAACATTTCTGTACATCCAAAATGAGTTCAAAATAAAAAGTTTTATTTAAAAAGAACCTTTATGTTTCAGAGAAGAATAATGCAATACTAATAGAATTTTTTGAAAGGCCACATTGCTTTGAACGTAGCTCACACTCATCGCACGGGTTTTCCCAGCAGGCGCTAGGCAAGGTGTGTGTGTGGAGAACTCTCTGCTGTGGGCCCTGTCTGTAAAAATCACTGAGGGTCTGCATCAGATGACATAGTCTAGGGCTGAGGTAAAGCTGGGAAGGGCGCCCCACTCAGGCGCCCGTGGACCAAACACAGCAGCTGACCTGCTCCAGTTGCTTTAATTGGGAGAATCGGCCCAAGTGGGAGGTTCACGCGGCCTCAGAGGCCTTCGTCCTCGCTGCTCCGCTAGGGTTTAGGCGGCACGTTTCCACAGAGCGTGTGCGAGATGGGGGTCCGACCGTCTGATTTCTCTTCTGACAGGAACGGAGGAGGCCGCAGTGGGACGTTCTGCGCCATCAGCATCGTGTGCGAGATGCTGCGGCACCAGAGGACCGTGGACGTGTTCCACGCTGTGAAGACGCTGAGGAACAACAAGCCCAACATGGTGGATCTCCTGGTAGGATGCCCCCTGCGCTGCCCAGGGCCGCCCGTTGGCATAAGGCTCCACGCCAGCTCCAGACTGAGCTGGAACCGGTGCATAGAGGGAGAGGCTCGTTTTCCAAAGCGTAATTTCATCACTGCTCACAGGGCTTTTTTCCTTCTTTCTTTTTCTCCCTCATCCTCTCTGCTCTTTCACAAGGAGGCTGGGTCTCAGCTCATTTGAAGTGTGGAGATGGCTGAAACTCACAAGTGAACATCCCTATTAATTTCCCTTCCTGGCAGCACCTTCCACGTGGCTAAGCACTTAGTCTTCACAGAGAAGAAATAATCATAGCACATGAAATGCCAGATTTTCAAATTACAGATTTTATAAATAGCTTAATCACCTAATATTTATCAAAGCTGTGAATTTTAGTTTGACATCCAGAATATTGCATTTAATTATGGTGGCCCTATCTGAGAAAAGGATTAAAGCAGTTGAGAAACAAAGGACTATGTGCAATTACTTTCTTAGAGTATTTTGTGAAATCTCTTTTTATGTGGTGCTCTTAAAATGCCAACCACCATGACTCAAGAATAGTAGAATAGCTTAAAGGAGGAAGCTCTTAGATTAGGTTTTTGCACTTCGCTGTGCGTGGAAGAAGGATCCGGATGGAACAGTAGGACTCCCGGGCTTGGGAGAGTGTCCTGGGTGGGAACAGGGAGGAAGAGGTGGCCGATGCGGACAAGCTGGGAAGGCCAGTGATCCCAGGGCCACAGCACCGCAGCAGTGCGGTTAGAGTTAAAAAGTAAAATAAGGGGATTAGAGAGAGTCAAGATACAAGCTGCAGCGGAAGAAGTAGCCATGGTCCCCACCTGCAGTTTGAGGAGTCGTGACAACAGTGCCCTGGGCTGGCTGCTAACAGTGAGCAGTGACAGCCAGCACCCGGACACGGCCGAGTCCTGCTTAGCACAGCCACACTCGGGGGTGTCTTATGCGTGATGAGCCGCTCCGTTTCCAAGAAGCGTGGCTGCTGGTCTGGGAGTTGGGCAGAAGAACGCCCACGCGGCCAAGCGCACGCGCTCAGAGCCATCAGCGTCAGCACTCGGCTTCTAGGAGGAGCAGAAAGCACTGTGCTCCCCACACTCCTGCCCTCTCTTCCCCGCCTACGGGAAGCCCATGAAAATCCAGATTCTAGTCTCAGCTCTGCGACTGATGCTAGTTAGATATTAGTTTTGCCATGTAAGTGTCCTTGGGCAAGTCCCTTAACTCCCTCGGGGTCTAGCTTTGTAAACTAGGGATAATATGAGCTTATCGAGGTGGCCCAGTGTGCAGAGACGTGGGAAGCCGCTTTGGAAACGGCAAAGGGGAGAGCGGCAGTGACTGAGGGCACAGGAGTCTGCAGGGCACGTGCCTTCAGTGACGGCCAGAAGGGCTCCTAGTGCGCCTGACGGAGTAACATTTCCTGTGGAGGCTGCAAGGCCGCTGGCGTGTTCCGTGTGGGGCTTCACTAGAACTCTCTCCCTCCCTGGGACCCCACCTGAATGGTGAAGCGTCCCACCACCGCGGTCCCACCATTCCCAGTCCTCTGGGATGGGGACTGAGAAAAGGGTAGTTACGCAGCTGGCGGTGGCGGCCTGCGTTTCCGCCAGCAGAGGATGGAAACGGATTCATAAATTGAAACACTCTGACTGTGGCTTCATGTGGTGTTTGACTTCACTGTTTTAGGGACAGATATGCAACCTCTAAACCTTGGTGGGTATTTGGGCAAAGCTGACCTTGATAGAAAATGTCATTTCGCAGTTGTTGTGGTCTACATTAAGCAGATCGTTAGAGAGAGACCCTTCCAGGCCTTTCCTCTAATGGCTCTGGCTACAGCTTCCATCAATCACCAATTTTTATGGGCAGGAACGATGGGGTTTTTTCCAAATCAGCGGTGCAGACTGCAGGACAGGGGTGATTTTTCACGAAATGAATGGAAGCGTAGGTGGCGGGACCAGGAGCGAGCGTGTGGTCCCAGCCTGCCGTTCTGTAATGACTTGGAGTTTCCGTGGTCGTATGAAATTCTAGTGGAGAAAACGAGATCCCTGGACGCCCGGACTCCCAAAGGTCACCAGCGGTTGTAGGATAAGGTCAGTGGCTGAGAAATGTGCAGGAATGTTTTTGCAGTTTCCTGAGAAAACTGTCTGATGAATCTGTCATGGTAACAGAGACTATGCGGTGACCAGAGGAAAAAAATGTCACAGTGCTCTTTTCAGTGGGTTTGAAGCTTCCAGAGTTGAATAGCTCTTGTGGTTTGTTTATTTTTGCCTGTGAGTACAATTTCTATTTAGTTTGGTGTTCATACATGTGTGTGTTGGCTGAGGGAATTCATTAACTGAGGTCAGGGTGATAAAGTCTGATACAGTTTCACTGGGCATAACAGGCTGTCTGAGACCAGAGTGCGCCCTAAGCACAGCGTGTCATACCAGCAGCTGGGAAGAGCAGGGTATGGAGTCTTCTTAGCTGCGTCTTCCAAAGCTGGCGAGCGTGTGCCAGGCAGCCTGGGGCGCGTGTCTGGGCCTGGGCCTCGCTGGGAGTCCTCACACGTCACATGGGAGGCTGAATCCCCCAGTGGCCCCTTCTGTGCAGAACATGAAAATGCTACCGCTGTCCCCTCCTGCCGCGGTGGGGGGAAAGCACAGAGAGACACGCCACTTCTCTCCCCATGTCCCTTTGCAGCTCTGATTTTTTCTAAATGGCTTCCGAGTTTGAAAATTCATCTGTTCATTTTGAAGCAGGGCCCTCTCCAGGGAGATCCAGAGGCCCTAAAGATTTATTCCTTTACATTTTTCATTTTAGGGGCTCTGGAGAAAAGCCCGCGCATTGCCAGGAGGCAAGATAATTTATAGCACAAGACTAGAGTCTTTGTATCCAGCAGGGGCAGCTGTGCTTTTCCCTGACCCCTTTCTTAGCCCAGCTTCTAAGCCAGCCTCAAGTCCCCATCAGAGAGCTGGGTTCCCAGAGGGTGGACAAGGACGGCACAGTCTGGGTCCCACTACTTGCCTGGTCAGGTCACAGGCGTCCCCCGTGCCTGGGCGCCTTTGAAGCGATCCCGGCTGCCAGAGAGAGCGGCTGCCCCACACCCGCAGCCCCCACCTCTGCCTGCCTCATTTGGCTTTTGAAGTTCCCAGGGCTCCGTCTTAACAGAGAAACGGCCTTTGGAGATGGATCTTGCCTCGAGAAACATAGCGCCCCCTGGGAGGTGATGGAAACTTGGGAAGAGTCCCCTCCGCCAGCCCAGCGCCCCACCCAGGAACTGAACACCTGGCGTCATCCTTCGCCCAAATGCCCTTGGCAGGTCGGCAAAGCTGCCCGTGCAGGCAAATGCACACTTTAAATAGCCTCTGCTTTTGAGCTCCTTGTCCGCTGGGGCCTCCCGGTTCTCAAAGAGCAAGACTGGCCTGAATCCCCAGTGCGGAAGGCCAGGGCTCTTCTCGGGGTTTCCGTAAGTGGCCTGGAACTCATGGTCTTTGACCCCTGAGTCTGCTCCGTGGAAACCCAGACCTGAAAGTCATGCCTTCCCCTACCCCCACCAGACCCCACCACCACCCAAAACCTTGACGCACGCAGGGCACGGCCTGCACCCTGGGGCACGCTCGAAACAACGTCAGGCATCGCCATCTTCAGGGCCCTTTGGCCACCGTCCCCGGGGGCAGCTGCTCGGGCCTTTCACCACACCTCCCCTGGCCTGCCCCACGCCACCGACCCGCCTGCCCTCCTCCTCCATGTCCTCGCTCTCAGGAGCAGAGCACACTTCTGCGAGCACACGCGCCCTCGGCCATCTCGGCCTCCCCCAAAGCCCACTTAATTCTGTGCTGGTTTCCCAGGCAAAGACCATTTCCCACCTAAGAGAAACGGTGGTCTTGGCTGCTAAGAGAGCAAAAGTTTACCTACTAACACGTCACTGGCATGATCAACCGGTCTCCATTCCATTCCATTCCATTCCATTCCATACTTATTCCTCAGCCTCTGTTCCGCGTGCAGCACCGGGCGGGGTGTGGCAGTGGATCAAGAGAAGACACGGCCTCTGCCTCACAGAGCTTATAACTCACTGGGCGTGCAGGACATAAGTCCTCCGTGAACCTCAGTCTTCCTGTCGCTAAAGTGGGGATAAGAATATTAAGCCAGTCACAAAGGCCACACGTACTGTTCCACACATGCGAAGTGTTCAGAACAGGCACGTCCATAGAGACAGGAAGTAGAGTAGTGGTTGCCGAGGGCTGGTGGGGCGGGGGTGTGCCCGCTAATAGCCACGGGGTCCCTCTTTGGGGTGACGGGGATATTCTAAACTTAGATTGTGTACAGCTCTGTAAATACACTGAAAACCACTGAGCTGTGTCAAAAGACAAAATTACAACAAATTTAAAGATCTAATTGGCTTTCATTTGCGATCCTAGAATCAGCCAGCAACTCATTCCATCAAACAGAGTGGGTGTTCAGTGAGCTGGGCAGAGGAGTTTGGCTTTATAGGCAGAAAAGGCTGGAGAAAGAAGAAACAGGGAACAAAAAAGCAGATGGGTCGTTTCAAAGTGACTCCCATTATAGGGTTAAAGCAGAGGGGACTTCCTTACCGACCTGGCTCAGGTAAACTGGACCCCTTCTGGTCGGTTGCTGTGCATCTCCTGTTTTTTGGAAAATCGCCCGTGTTGAGGTCAGTTGGGTGACGTGGCACCTGGCAGTGACTCCCTTCTGCTTCGGCCTGGTGCGGGAGCTCTGTCCAAAACAATGGTCTCCCATGAATTTCATTTAACAACTGTAGCCTTGAAAAGGGTCAATTTTATGGTATACAAATTATATCTCAACAAAGCTGTTGTTTTTTTAAAAGTTAAATCAAAAAAAAAAGAAAAAAAGCAGACGGGCCCTAGATGCCTGCAGGGCTTTTCTGTTTACAGAACACAGTCCCGTGAGTTGTGCTCAGTCGTTTTCACAAGAGATGGCAGGTCCTGCTCTCACACCCGCTTTCCAGACAGGGGACCCTGGCTGGGGTTGGTAGC